CCTTTGAGGCAGAAGACCCCCCCCCCAACACTGGGAATAGCTCCCTTGCTCTTGTGGAATCCATCCGCCCATCCGTCCACCCACCCGTCCTTCCATCTTTGCCCCCCCCCACCCCGTTGACCGCCCGGCACCATTAGCTGGCTGGGCATCCCACCAGCAACCTGGTTAACCCATCGTGGCAGCCCGTGCCCTGACTCTGCCCCCATCACACACACCGATGCTAGCCCAGGGTGTGAGGGGTTGTGCGGGCTGGGGCGGCAGGAATCTCTTCCCCAACCTGGGTCTCCCCACACGCAGTACTGTATCCCCCGTCCCTCCCTCGAGTCACTGTACTTTGAAGCATTTCCCACCCCAGCCCTGCCCGACTCTTACGTGTCTCGCTGTGATAGATCAATAAATATTTTATTTTTTGTCCTGGATATTTGGGGATTATTTTTGATTGTTGATATTCTCTTTTGGTTTTATTTTTGTGGTTAATTGAACATTTTTTTCTTCCACCTGGGGAGCTGTATCCCTAGTAGAAAATTCATTTTAATCACTTTGGTATAACTCTGGATGAAACGCACATTTAAAAAAAAATAAGAAAAGAGAATTAACTGCTTCAGAAAAGACTAATAAATGAAAACTTTTAAAAGGAAACAGTGTCTGGGCTTCTTTTATCCTCCTCTATCTGCCTTCAACTCCTGCCCCAGGTAGGGAACGCCCATGTATTTGAGAAACAGTTAACCAAAATCACCTGCTGCTGGCTTGGGGGGGGGGGGGGAAGGAGGGGGTAACAATCATTCTCCAAGTTCCACTTGTTCTTTAACAATGAAAGCCCCTTTATAGAGAAATTGGGGGCCTGGCAAGTCTCAGCATGCCCCGTCCATGTTGCCACACCAACCCCGTGCCCATTTCATAGGCCCAAGTCCTTGAGCACAGGTGCTAGTGGTGACCTCCAAATGCTGAGGGTACAGCCAAGGTGAGGGAAATGAAGCCAATCCTTCTCTTCAGAACAAACTCTTGGCCTTGGCGAATAGCCATGTAAATGGAAGAATAGCTGACCTAAAAACTTCAGCCAACAGCCAAGTGTAACCTATTTACCTCTGAGACAGTTTCCTCTAAGGAAGGCCCACCCTCACACATGGTCCATGTGAGGCACTGTTTCTCTTTTTTCAAAGGTATAAGACAAAGAATAATCAAAACGAAACAAAAAAGGTGTTAAAAATGACACCCTACAATTAGCACCAGGAGACTCAGAACCACCCTAAGATATACCCATTCCCAGAGCCCACCCTCCTCCCTTTGGGGCCAGAAATCCCAGGGCCCAGGTATGTGCCCACCTGGAGCCTATGTATCCCACCTTTAGACCATACTCTGAGCACCAGATTCTGGAATTCTCTCCTGTGCCTGTGTCTATCCTCCTGAGAGCAGACTCCATTGCCAGTGTGAACTCCCCTAAGCCAGAAGGGTGTAAGGAATGCTATTTTGGGGGAGCATGAATAGAGCTTTCTATGCAGACTGGAGTGTTGTACACTTGCGTGTAAGGATCCTTGTAGTGCCAGAAGGAGTTGTGATGAAAAGAAAAGGTACATGGTAGGTGATACTCAGAAAGAGCTTTCCAGAAGATAGTAAAGAACAAAAACCAATTTACTGGGCAGAAAATAGAGCAGGGAGTCAGGGCAGGCCTTTCAGCAGGGGACAGGTTGTGGTTCATGGAGACCCACAGGAGGCTGATGTAATGGTCCAGTGCAGGGTAACACAGTCTGCCCAAAGGAAATCCATCCATCCCTTTTGAAGTTTTCCCAACAGCATTTGTTGAAGAGAGTGCTTGTCTTTGTTTATTTTGTGCTGCTATAACAGAGATGGAATAATTTACAAATAATAGTTTATTTGATTCATGGTTCTGGATGCTGGGAAGTCCATGGCACTGGTACCTGGCAAAGACTTTTGTGGGGCATTGGCCAATCCATGAACATGGGATGTCTTTCCATTTATTTGTGTCTCCCAACATTTCTTTCAGTGATTCTTTTTTTATGTATATAAACTATTTATTAACAGACAAGGCAAACAGACTTATTTCTTCTTGGACACATCCACAGTATGGCCACAACGGCCAGTTGTCTTAGTGTGTTTGCCTCGGGCCTGAAGGTCCCAGGAGTGGCGCAGCCCCCTATGGACCTGTATCTTCTTCAGTCTCTCCAGGTCTTCACACGGTTTGTTATCCAGACCGTTGGCCAGGACCTGGCTGTATTTTCCATCCTTTACATCCTTTTGCCTGTTCAAGAACCAGTCTGGAATCTTGTACTGGTGTGGATTCTGCATAATAGTGGTCACATGTTCCACCTCATCCTCAGTGAGCTCTCCTGCCCTCTTGGTGAGGTCAATGTCTGCTTTCCTCAACACCACATGAGCATACCTTCACCCCACACCCTTAATGGCAGTGATGGCAAAGGCTATTTTCCGCCACCCATCAATGTTGGTACTGAGTACTCGCGAAATGTGCTGGAACTTCTCAGGGATCACTGGAGACATGGCGGCGGCACAGGCGGCAGTGTGTAGGCCTTCTGTGGAAGAGCTCAGTAATATTTTGTAGCTTTTCAGTGTACAAATATTTGACCTCCTTGGTTAAGTTTATTCCTAAGCATTTTATTGTTTTCAATGCTATTGTATGTTGAAATAATTTCTTAATCTCCTTTTTGAATTGTTCATTGTTAGTGTATAAAAATGCAACTGATTTTTGTGTGTGTGTTGGATCTTTATGGTTTTCTACATATAAGATTATGTTATCTGTGAAAAGATCATTTTACTCTTCCTTTCCAATTTTGATTTTTTTTTCCCTAATTGTCCAGGTTAAGACTTCCAATATTATGTTGAATAGAAGTGGTAAGAACAGACATCCTTGAAACCAGCAGTTGGCCTAATGGCTATGTCACTAGACTCCCATGTAGTCGACCGTGGTTCAAGTTCCAGACCTGGTGATGCGTGCGTGCTCAAAATCCTGAGAGGAGAAAGGAGGAGAAGGGATTGCAGCATGGCCATCCTCCCTGGGGGGTGATTTCTCACTTTCTGTCTCTCTGTCTCTCTCTGTCTTTTTGGCAAGTGCACACCCCCCCCCATAGCAAAAACCTCTCAAAAAAAAAAAAAAAAAAAAAAAAAAAAAAAAGAAAAGAAAAAAAAAAA